ATGAAGTCTCACCATCCTTGCTTCCAAGGAGCATTCTGGCCTCCAGGACAGATTTGTTCGTTCTTTTGGCAGTCCATGGTATATTCAATATTCTTCACCAACACCATAATTCAAAGGCGTCAATTCTTCTTCCATCTTCCTTATTCATTGTCCAGCTTTCACATGCATATGAGGCAATTGAAAACACTATGGCTTGTGTCAGGCACACCTTAGTCCCTGAAGTGATATTTTGCTTTTCAACACTTTAAAGAGGTCTTTTGCAGCAGATTTGCTCAATGCAAACCTTTGTTTGGTTCCCCCTATTTTAATGCCTTTCTCACTGAAATATGCCAATTAAAATCCTATATATCTTCAAACAAAAGAAGGAAAGAAAAGCTTTCCTAGAGAAGGTAAGTGTCATTCATTCATTCATTCACCAACTGTCGTTAAGCACTTACTGTGGGCAGATCTCAGCTAATCACTGACACTGCTACCTATGAACACGACAGAACCAGTTTGCCTTCATGGGGGACACAGTGCTGAATGTGCATGGAGACTGGAGTCAAGGAGAGGTGAGACCACACATAATGCACAGCGTATGGATCTAGTCCAGGTGGGAACTCAGGGCATGTCTCCTGACGAAAGTGAGGTTTTTGTCTGATTCCTGAAGGTAGCCTTGCCCCTGCCATTAGTGAGGCCAGGCCACACGTACGAAGGAGGACCCGGCTGTGGTCTGCCCTCCTTCTCTTCCCATCCTCGCTCCTGTGCGTGTGTGAGACACCTCAGGCCTCAAGGTCAAACTCCATCCACACACCACCACCCCCACCTTGGTCACACTTCAGGCCTAGGGGTTACGATCTACCCTCAGTAAGTTAGATCCAGGTAAGAGGTCCTTGCAGACCCAAAAGTGGGCTTGGGGCTATTTAGACAGGAAATTTGGAAGTCCTAGATCCAAAGGGTGAATGATCTAGAAGTGGGTGCTTGACCTATCCACCTCACAGACCTCTCACTCTGTGAAGAGGGGCACAGCTGGATCGGCGCCAGCGTTGGACCCTCTAAATGCAGGGCCCAGAGCAGCGACCCTGACTGCAGGATCTAAGGGCAGTTCTGCCTAAAGGATAAGGAGAAATTATCTCAATAAAAAGGTAGGGGAGGGGAGATGGGGAAGCCTTTCCAAAGGAGGAACAACAAATACAAAATCCCCGAGAAGGGAAGAACCCAGTTTAATATCTCCCTGAAAGCAGAGGCGTGGTGGAAGAGGTTAGGTGAGGTTGGAAAATGGACGGGGGCCTGGTGGGCCAAAGTAATGACTCGGCTTTACAACGGTGAACCAGGGAAAGGTCATTGTGAATGCGGCAAGAGCATTCCTTCCAATCAAAGCTAGTGTGATGTCAATAAGATACTTGATGTGAGAAGACAGAGCAAGCTGTTCAGTTTGGCTAGACCTAGAAGTACAGAGAAAGGGAAAAAAAAAATTGGAGACAAGTGATTGTGGAGGAGTTATGATGAAACAGTTAAGTGCTCAGTTGCCAACCAAAAAGTTGGTTCGAACCCACCCAGCAGCTCCACGATAGAAAGACCTGTAGTTTTGCTCCCATAAAGATTATAACCTAGAAAACCCTATAGAGCAGTTCTACTCTGTCACATGAGGGTCACTGTGAGTTGAAATCAACTCGACAGCACCTAACAACAGCAACAACCAGGCGGCAGGGGTCATCAGGGTAAGCACAGAGCTTTCTAGAGAAGCTCTTGAAGAACTGGGCCGGGGGCCAGATTCTGTCTTCATTCCATGCTGACCATTGAAATAAGACAAAATAATCTGCCACATGTAACACCTTTTCATACTAGGGATGCGCCTATGCTTGAGCCATGTTTTTCTCTGTGATTTCAGTGTCCTGAAATTCCCTCTGGATTGGCATGCATCCCATTTCCCACATAGTAAACATGAGACCACCTTTTATGCTTTGGGCAGAATTTTGAAACATTCATCACTGAATCCTCATTTCCTCTTTGGTGTAGTTTACTTTTTCATAATTAGAGATGATGCTGTCAATACTCAATGCCTGCAAAGTTATGAATACATTAGGCTGTAATATGAATAATCCATGAAGTCTGTAAACAGATGTTGGGGTGTGTGTGTGTGTGTGTGTGTTTATGATAACAGTGCTTACATAATCTCAACAACCAGGCCCTGGGGACTCACACTCGGAGATGGAACAGTTGGTTTAAATTAGGTTTCCATGTGAAATACGGTATCGCTATTTTTTTCCTCGCTTTGTGGGAAATTATATGGAAAATGATTGGACTGATAGGAAATAAGTCTGGGTGCATGATCAGGATTGAGACAGGAACCCAGTGGTGGTCTCTGCCTGCACTTTGAAGCAGGCCCCTCCAGGGGAGATCAATTAACCCCTTCAGGCCAACTGGCTCAGTAAGTCACTCCATGGCACAAGAAAAACCTGAAAGAACAGTGACTTTCCAGAGACCCTGATTTGCCATCAGTTTTAACAGGAAAGGACCTGAGGCCATAGGAAGAATATATCCAGAAGCTTCAGCAACTAATTAGTTGGGTGGCTTTGAGGAAACCATTTTAACTTTTCGGTAAAGAGAGCAGGTTGGGTTTCCAGATCAAAGGGTTGAAGATTTTGTGATTCTAAGTGTTTGCCGATAATTTCCAATAGCAGGACGAGGCTCATCAAAAGCAAATCCTACTAAATGAAGAAATGGAAAAAAGCACGAGGATACTCAGTCTCGGTCAGCAAAATAGTTTCTTGCTCTGGCAAGCTTGCCACAGGCAGGGTTTCAACAAAGGTGACTTTTAACCAGGTGAGGGCACAAAACATGGAGATGGTGAGCAAGGACTGCTCTTAGCTGCACATATTTGGTACCTAAGAGTGGTTGACCTTCAGGAGAGGTGTTGGCTCTGGGAATCCCAGAGGGCTCCGGTATGCTCAGGGCACGTCCAGGAGACTGGGCGCAAATGGTTATCTTCTTCCCAAGGGACTCGAAATTCCTTGCAGGAGGATCTGGACTAGGGCTCATCCTAGGGGTCTGATTCCAGATTTGTTCTCCTGACGTTGCCCAGTGAAGTCCAGAGCAGATGGACAGCAGAGGTGCATCTTGGGAGCCCAGTGGGCTAAGGGCTGGGCTTAGCGGTGGCAGGTGGCCTGTCCTATTTCACTTCAACCGATTTCAGAAGGAACAGGCAGATTATTACTCCAGGACGCCTCGCTGGTACCAGAGTTGCTGTAGTTGTTAGGTACCATCGAGTCAATTTCTACTGATAGTGACCCCATGTGACAGAGTAGAACTACAGAAGCAGATTGCTAAGTCTTTCCCCTGCTGAGCCACTGGGTGGGTTTGAACCACCAACCTTTCTGTTAGCAGTGGAGCACTTAACCGTTTGCGCCACCAGGGCTCCTTGGTACCAGAGTATAGCCCTGTTTTATCACCAAAACTCCTGTTACTGTTTCCCTGTTTGTTTCTGTGCAGGGATAGAAAAGTGAAGTTCAACATCAGTACTTTGCCATCCACTTGTGGTGTTTCTGTTATAGCTAAACGAAAAAAACCCATTGCCATTGAGTTGATTCTGACTCATAGCGACCCTATAGGACAGAGTAGAACCGCCCCACAGAGTTTCAAGGAGCAGCTAGTGGACTCGCACTGCCGACCTTTTGGTTAGCAGCCGAAAGCTTAACCACTGTGCCACCAGGGCTCCTCTCCCAGCACTAAATGCCAGTTAATTCTTACCACTTTGTCAGCTTGTAAGCAGTATTCCTTGGACCTTGAACTCTTCTTCTTGCAATTGTCATGGGTCGCCATGAACCCTGTGTTCGGGCCTCGCTCTCTCAGGCCAGGGACATGAGTTGCCAAACCCAGTGCAGCAAATAGGGCCAAGTAAGGTCAACAGCAAGGCTTTGGTCAGTTAATAACAGAGCTTATCAACCTAGACATCAGCCAGGATGGAAACAGTAATTTACACAAACCTAGTGTCCAAGCACCAAAATATAGGCAGCAGCAAAGTAACCTTAGAGATTTATCAGATGATTTAGAGGCTGCATATCATAAAGGGAGGACTTAGATACAGATTATTAGTAAATATTAGAGTCCAGTCCCTGTGTAGTAGGAAAAAAATCACATTAGAATTAGTTTAAGCCCAGAGCTGGAGAACATTAGAGTTTGTGTATACACATTAGGCACTGAGTAAGTGGTTAATAGTGCAACTCTGGCTCAGATGCACGAGTTCAAATCCAGGCTTTGCTACCTATTGGCTGGAGACCTTAAGCAAGTCCCTTAGATCCTTTCTCCTTCAGTTTCCTCATATATAAAATGAGGATAATAGTAGTGCCTACGTTTTAGGATTGCTGTGAGAAGTAAATAAGTTAGCATATTTAAAGGACTTAGGACAATGCCTGGCGTATTAAAACAAAACAAACAAAATTGTTGCTGTCAAGTAGATTGCAAATCATGACAACCCCATGTGTATCAGAGTAGAACTGTTCTCCTTAGGGTTTTCAATGGCTGATTTTTTTGATAGTAGATCACCAGGCCTTTCTTCCAAGGCACCTCTGGGTGAACTTGAACCTCCATCCTTTTGGGTAGCAGCTGAGCAGGTTAACTGTTTGCACCACCCAGACACATAGTAGTATGTGCTATATAAGTGTTAGTTATTATTATTGATTCATTTGATTAGCATAATAAATAATACCTTTATGAAAGATAGTTCAAATATATTTAAATCAAGATTATCCTTAGGCCTTATTTCCTATAGTCTCATGGAATTTTATAGCTCGAGAGGGATTTTATGAATTACCTTTTCCAGCTCCTTTATTTTAAAGATGAAGATGAAGAGATACAGAAAGGTTAAGTGACTTTCCCAGAATCCTATAACAAAGCAGTAGTGGAGCTTGGCTGGGTCTTTTGCTTTCCTAATACCAAAAAACAGTTTCTTGTGAAAAAATAGTTATCAAGCTTCCAGGACATACATCGTTTCAGTGGGTGTTCCTCTCTGCATTTTCCAGGTGAGCTCCTGGGTGACATGGCTTATCCTCGCAGCGGGCTCCATGGAGGAGAAACGGGAAGTCTTCTCATATTTGGTGCACGTGGCCAAATGCTGCTGGAACATGGGCAACTACAATGCTGTCATGGAGTTCTTGGCTGGCCTCAGGTAATGCATTTATCTGGGCATAGTTTCCTTTTATCAGCTGAATGACACTAAGTTCGTTACCCAGGTAGCTTCAGTTTGTAGTGATTATTTTAGCTCCACAAGCCTTGTCCCTCAGAGATGCCACAAGTTCAGCCCCTGTTGACCATTCATGATCCTACTTAACTGTCTCTCCTTTGATCCCATGCTCTTGCCAAATCAAATGAAATTACCTGGTTGTTTAACCCATGAGCCCCGTTACTGCCATCTCTCCTTCCCTTTCTATTCCATACACCCTACTGAAATCTGTCTACCTACCTATCTCTCTCTCTCTCTTTCTATCTTCCTGTAGGTCAAGCACTGGGCTAGGCATTTTTCATGCATTATATCTTTTCATCCCAAAATAATTTTTTGAGGTAGGTACTATTATTATTCCTACATTATGCAACAGAGGAAATTAATGTTTAGAGAAGTTAGATCATTCACCAAGTTCACCTGGCACGGCTGGTAACTGAACGCAGGCAGCCTCGATTTCAGAGCCCATGCTATTAACCACTGTGATATCCTGCTGTTATGCTTTCTCTATCCAGCTAATAACAAAGATCGCCATTCTGTCAGTACTGTCTCCTGCCTTATTCCTATTCACCCTTGGGGACCTGGCATAAAATTGTTTCCCCTTACTGCTCTGGAAGACAGCATACATGAGGAAGAGCTTGAGTTACAGAGTCACAATGACAGGAAATTAAGTCCTGGCTTCCTCATTGAATAGCTATGTGACCTGGGCAAGTTATTTGATATCGTTGAGCCTCAGTTTCCTTGTTTGTAAAATGGAAATAATAATAATAAGCACCTACCTCTAGGGTTGCTCTGAGAAGTCAGTGAAATAATAGAAAATGTTTAGCACATGTGTCATACATAAAGTAAGACTCCATAGTAGTAACTGTTTTTGTTGTAGTTGACTGAGATTCACCTTCCCAGTGAAGGTTCTCACTGTTGTGGATCTTGCTTCATAGCAGTAGAGAGATTTTCCTCTGATTCTCCAGGTCCCTGCATATAGTGTGGGGATGGAGGAGAAGAGGAAAATTCCTAGAGTTGAACATTTTTATTCCTCTAGAACTTCCTTAACTAAGAATAAACTCAAATGATCATGTCACTGACATTTAGAATGATCATACATATGCACCAGGCATGGCTCAGAAGAAGGGAAAAATAGAAAAAGTATTCGGCAAATAGGAGGCTATTCTCCCAGATGATTTTTTTTTTTTTTTAATTACAATTTTGGTGAACGTTTACAGAGCAAATCAGTTTCTCATTAAACAATACAAATTGTTTTGTGACATTGGTTGCCAACCCCACAGTGTGTCAACACTCTTGCCTTCTCCATCCCAGGTTTCCTGTTTCCATTCATCCAGTTTTCCTGTCCCTTCTTGCCTTCTTGTCTTTGCTTTTGGGCTGGTGTGCCCATTAGTTTGGTATACGTAATTGAAATATGAAGCACATCCCTCCCATGTGTTATTGTTGGCCCTACAGACCTGTCTCATCCCTCAGGAATGATTTCAATACTGAGTTAAAAGGGTGTCCAGCGGCCATACTCTTGCGGTTTCTCCAGTCTCTGTCAGATCAGCAAGCCTGGTCTTTCATGTGTGTGTGTGAATTTGAAATTGTTCTACATTTTTCTCCCGCTCTGTCTGGGGCCCTCTATTGTGATCCCTGCCAGAGCGGTCAGTGGTGGTAGCTGGGCATCATCTAGTTGTTCTGGGGATTTTTGTTTTATTTGTAATAAATTTTCTACGAAGATCCTGTGTTACTTTTCTTTTAAGAAAAAATGATCAAATTATGATAAAATAATTCTATTTTAATGGTGATTATCCTTCTGTGTGTAGCCTGGGTGGTGAAAGCTGTTTACGATTGACTGCTCACCTTAAAGTTGGTGGTTTGAACCCACCCAGTCGTTCTGCCAAAGAAAGGCATGGTGAACTGCCTCCGTAAAAATTACAGCCAAGAAAAGTACAGAGTAATTCTACTCTGTAACACATGGGGTTGCCATGAGTCGAAATTGACTCCATAGCAACGAGTTTGGGTTTTTTTGGTTTTATCTTTCTGTTTGCCTGGCAAGATGGTGCTGGCTTTTGGCTGGATGCCTCACTTCCTCTCCATTTGGACGTGACTGTCCTCACAGCGTGGAGCTGGTTTACCCCAAAGTGAACAATTCAAAAGAGCAAGGAGGAAGCAGCAATGCCCTTTATGTCCTAGCCTCAAAAGTCACACCCTGTCACTTCTGCCATATTGTCTTGGTCACATAGGACCAGCACGGATTCATTGTGGGTGGGGACTACACAAAGCACGAATACCAGGAGGTGTGGATTGTTGAAGGCCATCTTAGAGGCTGACTGCCACATACCATATGTTAGGGATTTCAGCTGATACAAGAAGGGCCTTAGGATGATCTAGGGAGGCCTGGGTTGAATTTGTCTTTCAGACCCAACGTAGTTTGAATAATTTACTCATCTGACATGACTGTATTTGTTTTGATCCGTCCTATTTAATATTAATAATTAATATTGAGCTTCCATTTATAAAAGTAATATTAATATCATTTTGTGAAGTAGATAGATCTGAATCCTAAATAAGTATTAAAACTAAAGGAAACTTGGAAGGTCAAAAGAAATGAATTTGTATGGAATTTAGGCAATTTACTCTAAACTATATTTTCTTCGGTCTAAAAAAAATGTCATTTTGATGGAAAAATTTGGCAATGGATAAGAGTGATAAGTACAACTTGATGAACATAATGTCACTGGTCTGTACATGTGAAGATTGTTGAAATGTCAAGTGTTTTGTTACATATAGATTTACCACAATAAAAAAAAAAGTCATTTATTTGTAATAGATCAAGAAAAGTCCTAAAAATGTGGCAGTTTATGGACCAGTCTGACATTGAGACCATGAGGAGCCTGAAGGATGCGATGGCTCAGCATGAATCATCCTGCGAGTACAAGAAGGTGGTGACCCGGGCATTGCACATCCCCGGCTGTAAGGTGGTTCCGTTCTGTGGAGTGTTTCTGAAGGAGCTCTGTGAAGTCCTTGATGGAGCCTCTGGCCTCATGAAGCTTTGCCCACGGTACAACTCCCAAGAAGAAACTTTAGAGGTGAGGCCTTTCAAAATCATCATGAGGTCAGAGTCATTGTTGACACTTGTCTCACCACTCCTGTGGGAAAAGATAACTTATTAAATGCCAAGGTATTTGTTGTTATGTCGCTATTGGATAACAATTAGATCGTTGAATGTTCTGGAAAAAAGAATGCCAACTAGCTCTGTCATTGGCTTAAAACCGTTAGACTCGTTTTAATGGGACATTGTGTAGGTACACATGGAAAAGGGTGTTTTGTTGTTTTATAATTTTTTTTTTTAAGGTTGCTGGGTTTTTCTTCTCTCATAATGGGTAGGAATGTCTGGATGCAGAGAATACAGAAAGTTAGGTGAGAGCACGTATTCATGAGGGAAGTATTCAGATTCTAAATAAATGGAACGAAGAAAAGGGGGAGTCAATGCTGTTTCACCCATTTAGGAGGACTGGGAAAATGGTGCCTCAGTGTTAAAGATGTGCTCCATGCTTCTGGTCATGGCTGCCTCAATTCTCCCAGGCTCATTCCTTCTTTTTCCTGACCCACGTGGAAAGAATGGTGTGAGCTGTGACTCAGTTCATTAGGCATTGGAGAGAAGAGACATTGAGAAACTGGAAGGGGAAAATAATGAAACATCCCTGTAAGGTATTTAGAAATGAAAGAAGGTGCTAAAATGAGGAGAACCTTGGGTATGATTTTGAGGTGTCCATACGTGGAAGTCTCAAATCTATGGTCATTCTTACCATGACGACAACACTCACTACTGACCTTGTTACTCAGACACACACAAACACACCCCTTCCCAGTGGGATTGAGAAGACTCTGCTAAAACAACCTGGAACAAAGACGTGGCCCTGGTGCCTGGAGAGTTGAGAGCCCCTGGCAGGTACAGGTTACAGCTCTGGTTTGCATCTCTCTGGCTTATGAGCTGGGATAAAAGCGCAACAAATGGAGGAGGGAACTTGAAGCTCCCAATCTTCGCCCACACCAGTTCTCTCACATCCTAGGAAGAGGGAGCACCACATTCATGGCCCAGCTGCAGCTGCAGCTCCCGCTTCTGGTGGAGAGAAATTTCCTGGTTAAGAGTAAAGACAATAAGAGCTTAAAAACCACCCAGAAGCCTTTGTGTTAGCATAAGCTATATGGAAAATGAACTAAAATGTCACAGTTCCTTAATGTTCTCCTTGGGTCCCAGTGACTTTATCCAGTTCCATAGAATAATATACTTTTGTCATTGTTTTTTCTCAATTCTCACTACAAGGGTCCTTCCTCTGTAGACTGGCTAATCTTCCTCTGTAAACTGGCTAACCTCCCTGGGGAACCTTGAAATAATACTGCTTTTTGTGTTTTAAATTCAAAGTGGAGTGTTGTTTCCTAGAGGGACTAAAGTTGTCTTAGTGGAAACAAGAGTGAGTTTTGATATTTCATGTGGTGAAATGAAAACGGTATTTTTCCTGAAGAGTCTTGCTTTCTCTCCAATAAAATATGCACAAATACCATTATTTATTACTATTATGATTTAGTTTCCCTAGCCAAGTAGGTTACTTAAGCATTCATATTAAGTTGCAACAGCAAATTATCTGTGTATTTCTCTGTAGTTTGTAGCAGATTACAGTGGACAAGATAATTTCTTACAACGAGTGGGACAAAATGGCTTAAAGAATTCGGAGAAGGAGTCCACCGTCAACAGCATCTTTCAGATCATTAGGAGCTGCAGTCGAAGCCTGGAGGCTGAGGAGGAAGGCAGCCCCAGTGAAGGGAACAGCTCCAGCAAAAATTCCTTGAAGGATAAAACTCGGTGGCAGTAAGTTTTACATTTTAAACAGAAGGAGGCTCACTTTTTCTTCCTTGTTGGTTAGTCTTTTTCCTACTTCAGTTTGGTTTTATGTCAACACTTAATAGGTTCAGTGGTAGAAATCTCGCCTTCCACATGGCAGATCCGGTTCAATTCCAGCCAATGCATCTCATGTGTAGCCACCACACCTGTCTGTCAGTGGAGGATTGCATGTTGTTATGATGCCGAACAGGTTCAGCAGAGCTTCTAAACTAAGACAAACTAGGAAGAAAGGCCTGGTTCTCTACTTCCAAAAAAATCAGCCAGTGAAAACCCTATGTGTCACAGTGTTCTGATCCAGTTGTGTCCGGGGTCTCTATGAGTTGGGGATGAACTTGAGAGCACCTAACAGCAACAGCATTATTGTTGAAGCATGTTCTTTATATTCAGATTTTAGTAATTCTGAACAAGAATTTGACTTTCTGATTTGGTTGCTGTGTTCTAAGATTACTACTCATAATTTTACTTCTTCCATCTGTTATCCCTAAAATATTAGGGCTATTCTACCATTTTGAAAAGTTTAGAAAATTAAATCTCAGGATTAGAACCATGATCTTTTATTTGTTTCATAGTTTCTGAAGCAATTGTTTTCATTAATCACGGGGTGGGGTAGTGGAGTAGATATTAAAATATTTTTAAATCAAATATACTGAGTTAGCTCTGTGACTATACTCAGTATAATATACTTTCACTCACTGTAAAATATATATATATTTAGAGAGAGAGAGAGTTAGTAGGTCTGGGATGGTACCCAGAAGTCAGTAATTTTAGCAGCTCCCCCTAACCTCTGGGTGATTCTAAGACAGGTGGTTCAAGGACCTCACTTTGAGAAACGCTGCCCTGTGTCATGTTTTAAAGTTAGCTGTACTTATAGAGGGCAGCTATGGCTTTGTAATTGTTCTGTTCTTACAGTTGCTGTTCTTCATGGGGGAATTGTAGTCTAGGCAGACATTCTTACCCACAACCAAATGAAAAGTGCAGAAATCAGTGGCCTTGGGGCATGCCTTGCATCTCTTCAAGGCCATTTGCTCATGGTCACACCTGACTTGAAATGGTCAGACAGAGCCTAGCCCAGGTAGAGGATATTTTTAGGGCCATTACAAACTATTCGGTCTTCTGGCTTTGATATCTTTGCCACCAAAAGTGTTTCTTTGTAGTCAGTACTCTTGAGTCATACAATGCAATGGTCTTAGAGTCCTTATACGTGTGTATGTGTATTTGTGAGACATTGTTATCAGTTTCACCAAGCCTTTTCTGATTGCCTGAGTGTGTGTGCATGCGCCAATAGTTGGAAGGATGACAGTGTTTTTAGAAAATAATGTTAAACCATTCTTTGGAGTTGTAGAGCTGGATGCTTAGAATCACCTGTGAACACAAAAATGAACATCTTGTGTCTGAATTCTTAAAGCAATTATGTTTTAAGGAGGAAACCTAAATTCCAGATTTCCCCCAGTCTTTGGGCTTTCTTCCAAACCTCACCACTTTCTAGCTCATTCCCCCGTGGAACACCCAGATGTTCGAAGATTAACTGTTATAGCCCTTGCCATAGTGTCTCAACCCTAAATTTCAAATGTCTCACAAGTATCTTCTTTTTTTTTTTTTAATCTCAAATCAGACATCTTTTGAAAGTTTCCTCACTAATAGCCCCCTTTCAAAGCATGCTAGCACTTTGGTTTTAAATGGTCCTCGATAATTGCTGACATTAGTGGTAATCTGGAGAGGGAGAGGGGACCCTAGGTGGTACAAACAGTTAACTAATTGCCTACTAAATGTTAAAGAGGTTTAAGTCCACACACAGGTGCCTCAGAAAAAAGACCTGGCAATCTACTTTGGAAAAATCAGCAATTGAAAACCCTATGAAGCACAGTTCTACTCTGACACACATGGGGTTGCCATAGGTCAGAATCAACTTGGTAGCAACTGTTTCTTTTTCCAATATAGGGAGAGAACCATCTATATATAAGCACATGTTTGCAGAGGAAGCATATCAGAAACCATTTAGGTCCTTAATCTATAGCTATCTCTGTATATAGATATCAGTTTATATGTCTACCTCCTTCCACAAAGGATTTTGTAGGTGCTTATAAGAATAAATATGAATAATCTAAATTATTAAGGAAAAGGGAAAATAAGGATAGGAAAAAATAAAACATAAAATGTATATACTACACAGTCCCGTTTAGTAACTAAATTTTGTTCTGAGCTTCTCAGGGGCCAAAGGAGAGTAATTATAATTCATTACAAATTTCACAGTATTGGTAATAAAAATCAAACAGATAATCAGGATAATCCTCATACTGAGATCTGGCCAAAATGCCTTCCTTAAATCCTACTATAAAGGATACGTCTGTTATTTTAGAATCATAGGTAATTTAGAGATCTAATATTTAAAATAGTTAGCTGATGCCTAAATAGATAATTTCATATTGGTCTTTTTTATAACAACCTTCATTTGAGGTTGTGTGTGTGTAATTGTGTGTACATGTGTGTTATTTAAAAGATGTCAATTTTTCTGAAATACTTTTAGGAATGCTACCTTTGAGCCTCAGACTTTGAGCTTTCCTTTGTCATCCCTTCCTTTCCCATTGGGTTCCTTCCAGTGCTAAATTTCTTGCATCATCCTATCACCTCTCATGATATTTTTATGCACAATTTCCTGCTTGTTCCCTTGTCCTCTTCCTAATCATTCATCATCTATATTCACTCCTCTCTCCTATTTTCCAGACCCTATTGTAAGCACTCTTAGAAAGGTAGAAAACACAAAACCAGTGAAGTCAGACTGAAATCCTCACACTGAAACAGCAGACAAGTACCAGTAAGAATTTCCTTACCCCAAGTGATTGCTACTCTGGAAGGAGCCTCTGAATACACAAGGTGGGGGCAGAGGTGTTTAACAGAATTAACTGAAACCAGATCAGCAAACACCATTTCTGGAACCATCTTCTGGGACTTGGGAATCCGTTTGTGAACCAGAGCCCCACATTAAAATGGGTTGTATGTGGTGAAGGGATTTCCAGATCCCAAAGCCGCTAGAAACTGTTCTCTGTTGATGTGGCTGCCACAAAGACTCTACAAACACTAATCTCCAACCCCTGTTCATGTGGCAACAACCAACCCTCTGAAAACCGCAGCAAGAAAGAAGGGCCAATCTTAGGGCTCTTTGGTTCACCTAACCTAAAGGATGCTCTTAGAATTCTTCTCAAACCTCTCAGCTACTCCAGCCAGAAAACCCACTAGAAGCCTTTACAGTAGTTGAGGAAGGTGTTAGGTTAATGAAAAGCAAGAATTTGCCAGAAGCAGTTTAAAACACTAGATTTTATTACAGGGAACAGCTGTAGCAAGTCCTTTTTAAAAGGTATTAGATTTTTTTTTTGTCTGAGAAGATTGGATTTAAGCTTGTTTATCTTGATGATTCATCAAGTAATCATGTTAAATTTGTAGGAAGTAATGAACAGTTACAAAGAAAATATATAAACAGGTTGACAAGTAACCCATGTGTTGCCTAATATAAGATTTTCATCAGGAAATACAGAAAAGCCTGAGAAAGCCGGAACCTGTGTAAGGCAGAAACCTCTCAGAGAAGGAAAACTCAAATATTTTCCACTAAAACGAGCGACAGAAAAGTGTTAAGACTGTACCCTGTCGAAGGTGGAAAACTCTCGAGACTCAGAAAAACATGGCAGTCCCATCGAGTTCCAGCTCTCACAGGTTTCATTGTATTAGAAAAGTATCTGTCCCATTTATGGATTCTTATTCAAGGATGCTGCAGAACCTCTTTGAGGTTAAGATAAAAACCCTCCTTCTGTTTTTACTCCTTGGTCTTTTCCGTAAAGCATATGACCTACCTTTGACAGGATGGTTTCTTCACTGGTAAACCACCTTTTTGATCTTTGGTTAACATTATTTGATTCCTAAATAACTCTTAAAGTTCTATCTTGTTTCTTCTTGTAAACCCACAGAAACTTGTCTTCTGAAAGAACCAGACATGTAAATGCATAAAATTCACTATATCTTCGTGAGACAAAGATTTCAAGTTTCCTGCCTGAAATGAACTTATTTCATTACAAGCAATTGTCAATTTTATTTTAGACATTAGTCCCTGGACTGTACGTTTTGAATGGAATTATTAACATCTGGCATTAGTTCTTTTTGCGCCATAAAATAGAAACCGATGCCAAGAAAGACAGTGCCCCCTCTCTCCCAGCTTACATTATCTCTGAGCAGCAGAAACAGTCTCCAGAAAAGCCTTATAATTTTTCTTTCCAGAAATATTTTTTCATAATGCCTGCAGTTTTTCACTGGAAAATACTTGATTTAGCTCAGAACCAAAATTAAATGGGACATGGGAAACACCATTTCTCTTTCTTGCCTTCCTCCAAGATTCTCCTGGCCTTGGTAATCCAGGTTCCTGACCCAGGGAAGAGAACTTGCTAAATTTTCCAAGCAGGCATTTCCGGCATTTCCTTGATGTATGCACGCACGCACACACACACAGACACACACAGACACACAGACACACACAGACACACAGACACACACACACAGACACACACACACACACAGACACACACACACACACAGACACACACACACACACACAGAGTCAAGGTCAAGTCAAGGTGAGTTGTTCTTGCTCCTCCGGCCACCATGACCATATGTCCCATTTAGTGTCTTTGAAATGGGCATTTTATTTTTTTTTAACAGAAGTACTTCTAGGGCCAGCCTATTAAGTCTTGCTTTCACCTATTTTAGCCCCAACATATTGAGCTGACGACTGTTGTTTATGATTTAACTAGAAGGCAGTGATGAAGATCACAAGCCTTAGAGTCAGATAACCAGAATCCCACATTGGTTAGGCGTCTTCTGAGCGGGGTAACCTTGAGCAAGTTACTTCTCCTTTCTGAACGTCAGTTTTCTGAGGTAAAAAAGAGTAATAAAACTGACTTCACAGGTTGGACTAAATGCAAAAATATATGTAAAGTACTAAACAGTTCCAGACACAAGAAGAAAACTAAAAAATGATGAAGGTTATTGCTATTGATACAAAAATATAATAACTGATTTAGTAATTCCTTTCCTTATGCCTATGGTGGACGCAATGCTAATTTATAAGGATTTAGAATACCATTATAAAAAATTACTCTGCAGTGGATACTGGTGATACAACATAGTGAATGAAATTAATGTCTCTGAATGATACAAAAAGAATGGTTGAAATGACAAATGTTTTGTTATATATATTTTATCACAATACATTTTATTAATTACTCTGCAACTTTAGCATTTTATATTTTCTATGCTAATTGAATTCAGAGTAGGATAAAAAAAAAAAAATGAAGCCCAATTTTAGTGACAGGCTTTCAGTTGTTCTCACTTCTGAGAATGGGACAGACCAAATTTGTGTCTCTTTCCATCAGGTTTATAATTGGAGATTTGTTGGACTCAGAAAATGACATCTTTGAGCAGTCGAAAGAATGGGGCCCACATGGAGCAGAAGAGCCACAGAAGGCCTTCGACCACGGCACGGAGCTCATCCCCTGGTATGTGCTGTCCATCCGAACTGACGTGCACCAGTTCCTGCTACAGGGAGCCACAGTCATCCACTATGACCAGGACACGCACCTCTCTGCCCGCTGCTTCCTCCAGCTTCAGCCTGACAACAGCACCTTGACGTGGATAAAGCCCATCACTGCTTCCCCAGCCAGCGCTAAAGCAAAACTTGGTGTACTTAGTAATACGGCCGAACCTGGTAAATTCCCATTACTGGGCAGTGCTGGAGTAAGCGGACTGGCAGAGGGCGTCTTGGATTTGTTTTCAGCAAAGGCTGTGTACATGGGACACCCGGGCATTGATATACACACTGTGTGTGTTCAGAACAAACTGGGTAGCATGTTTCTCTCGGAGACTGGTGTGACGCTGCTATATGGGCTTCAGACCACGGACAATAGATTATTGCACTTTGTGGCACCAAAGCACACGGCCAGAATGCTCTTCAGCGGATTGTTGGCACTCACTAGAGCTGTGAGAAAGATGAGAAGATTCCCTGACCAGAGATTGCAGTGGCTGCGGAAACAGTACGTCAGCCTCTATCAGGTAAGGGATGCAGTATCACTCTTTCCTCAGTAGCATAATTCTCAAGAGCACACACTCTGCAACCTGACTGCCTGAGTTCATGCTCCCAGCTCTGCCACTTACTACCTGTGTGACCTTGGGCAGCTGTTACTTAACCTCTCAGTGCCTCAGTTTCCTTATCTATAAAATACATAACCATTTTATATTTTATATATAACTAATGATACTTATTCATAGGGTGACTGTGAAGATTAAAAGAGTTCATGTGCATAATGTGCTCAGAATAGTGTCTGGCTTTTAGCAGGTGCTGTCATTATTATGGGAAACCCTGGTGGTGTAGTGGTTAAGTGCTACGGCTGCTAACCAAAAGGTCGGCAGTTCGAATCCACCAGGTGCTCCTTGGAAACTCTGGGGCAGTTCTGTCTGTCCTATAGGGTTGCTATGAGTCAGAAAGGTCGGCGATTCCAACCCACCAGCCACTCTGCGGGAGAAAGGTGTGGCAGTCTGCTTCCTTAAAGATTTATAGCCTTGGAAACCCTATGGGGCAATTCTACACTGTCCTATAGGGTCGCCATGAGTCGGAGTCCACTCCATGGCAATGCGTTTGGTTTGGGTTTATCATTATTAGATGTGAAAACAGTGACTCTGTCCATTTTTGTATACACATCTGGAAAGAGGGCAGTTAATATAAGCATTTTGACTTAATCAAGGTTTCAACACGCAATCATTACAATCTGAATGCTTTTGTTATTAGTTAGTGACTAGCTGATACATTGGAAACTTTCACTTTGGAAACGGAAATCCTGATTCGTCACCTAACATGCAAAGTGATTTTTGGAAAGTTATTTAACTTACTGTATATTACTGCCTAATCATAGAACTCCTAAGGTTAAAAGACACTTTTCCAAATACGGGATAACTCATACATTGAGTGTTTCCTAACCAGGCTTTTCGTGGCAGCAGCCCTGAGGGGGCAGTTTCTCGCAGTCGTCTTCTTAAAGGAAGTGAGTTTCTCATTAACTCTAAATTAGCAGATATTTTAATACTCCATGGTGGACAGGACTATACTGACCGAGATGGTGAGAAGAGGCACTAGTACGTTTATAGAGGAAGGAGAGCACCAGTTCTTTGGAAATTGAGTCATAGACCCCACCACAAGATGACTGTTGAAAAGGCATCATCAAATGAGTTGTATCAAAATCTTCAGTTTTTCTTTTATGTTATGCTTTTGTTTCTTTTTTATATTTTACTTTAGTTGAAGGTTTACGGAGCAAACAAGTTTCTCATTAAACAGTTAGTACACATATTGTTTTGTGACATTGGTTGCCAACCCCATGGCATGTCAACACTCTCCCCTCTCAACTATGAGTTCCCCGTTACCAGCTTTCCTGTCTCCTCCTGCCTTCTCGTCCTTGCCCCTGGGCTGGTGTGCCCATTTAGTCTCGTTTTGTTTTATGGGCCTGTCTAATCTTTGGCTGAAGGGTGAACCTTAGGAGTGACTTCATTAATGAGCTATAAGGGTGGCTGGGGGCCATACCCTCGAGATTTCTCCAGCCTCTGTCAGACCAGTAAGTCTGGTCTGTTTTGTTTTTTGTTTTTTGTTTTTTTGTGAGTTAGAATTTTGTTCTACATTTTTCTCCAGCTCTGTCTGAGACCCTCTATTGTGATCTCTGTCAGGGCAATTGGTAGTGGTAGCCGGGTATCATCTGACTGTGCTAGACTCAGTCTGGTAGAGGCTATGGTAGTTGTGGTCCATTATGCTTTTCTGTCTTGATGGGAAAAAATTATCTTTTTTACTAATGTCACAGAACAAATAGAAATATGGCTTTTATCATTCAAATAGCCAATGTCGTGTACTTTTCACAGTTCTATTATGTTTCTGACAATTTAAATAATTTTCTTTTTCTGAGAAGTCAGTAGAGACTCGTACAGTGCCCACTATCCCCTTTTCTCATACTCATGCTGTGCTTATGAGCAGAGATCATATCCTGAATAACTAACTTAATTAGCTGTTTAATTTATTAATAAGCAGGTAGGCCTGTGTACACGATTATCCTAATGCTACACAGTACAAAGCCAGTTTTAGTTAATTCATCTAAAATGGGGACCAAATGACCTACTTCCTGTCTACTCCACAGGGAGCTTTCAGTTCACTTACCTGTTTTGGAAAAAGGTCTTTAGGAGCTATTATGAATATTTATTTTTAATTATATTCATTCCTCAGTCGTATAGAACTATGAAAACCATCAAACCTGGAAAGAGTCTTTGAGCTCAATTACAAACACTGTCAGAAAGCCTGTGCGATTTATTTGCTTCCTTTGTTTCTGTCTCAGGCTTATACCATAGGTGAATGAATTTACACATAAGGTGTACTTGGTTTTCTCATTTATCCGGGCAACTTTCAGTTTTTGCAAAGGAGCCGCCAGTTGAGACGATGAACAGCAGAAGTAAGAGGTGCTCCCGGAGCAGAGACAGGAAGTGACCTGAGAAGAAAGGCACCAGTCTCAGTCCTGCCCAGCTATGTCAGCACACCTCCACACCCCTTCTCCAACCCCTCGCTGGAAACCACAGTGCAAAAGCGCAACATACATGTCAGTACTTCTGAAAGCATAAGTGATGCTCTTCCACAAAACATTGTCCTATGTGAGCCATTTACTTAGGGAACATGCCTTAGAAACAGACACTCAAGATTTCTTTTTAAAAAATGTGGAAAAGGCCAATGAACTGATCATTTTCTCATCATATAGATCAGGGATATAAAAAAGATGCTAATTTGGTGCTCAGAGAACAAAAGGTTAAATAAGCATGCTAAATGCCCTTCTTAAGGTGATTTATAATACCAGTTAGCATGTTGAAGGCTCTGAGAAATCCTCAAGTACAAAAGAAATCTATTTAAATTTATCTACAAGTTTAAAGAAATTTGTGAAAGTCTTTTGTGTTTTTCCAAATTTCTATGAACAGTCACTTAAGAGTATTTTTTAATCCACAATTTGGGGAGGGCTGATATAGAAAATAATCTTTTCAACGCCCAAATCTCTTACATGGTGAATGTATATGAAATTAACTTTCAGATACAACAAGAATTTTAGTACTGTTGTTGTTATGTGCCGTCTGGTTGATTCCCACTCATAGCCACCCTATAGGGCAGGGTAGAACTGCCCCATAGGGTTTCCAAGGAGTGACTGGTGGATTTGAACTGCGGACTTTTGGTTAGCAGCCCAGCATGTGTAAATTGATCTGATGGAAATAGTAATGGGAGATAAAGCAAAAGACAAGAAGAAGTAGTAACATTTGTAGTGAAGCCTAGGAAAAACACAGGAAAATGCAAGACAGTAAGCTGTGCAGAGAGATATTGCTATGGGGTATGGAGAAAAGACAGGTATCATGAGTTTTGACTTGATATTATCACGAGCAGGGCAGAAGTCCCATATTTGGAAAGAGTGGAGAAAGTTACATACAGTTGAACATCTTTGGCTGTAAGCAACAGAAACTCACTCTGTAATCTTAAGTAAAGAAAAAAAAAGATTTATTCAAAGGCTGTAGATTAATGAATTAGATTCAAAGACGGTCTTCAAAATGTCATATGCAAAGATTTGCCAAGAGGCAAAAGTGCTTGAATATTTTTTAGGGAATCAATTTCCCAAACTTCAACTTCCAAGTGAACGGGTTTTCTAAAACTGAGAATGTGCCTTCACTCACAGTAGTTGTTCTCCCACATGAAAAAAGGCATATCTTTTCACTCATCCCAAATCTTACTGTGGTGTAAAAGAAAAGAAAGATTCAAAATACATTTTAGTTTCCAGAAAGCCCCCTTTAATAGCTAAAATAAAGCATCCTGTCAGAAAAATGGGCAAAGGCTATGAACAGGCACTTCACCAGAAAAGTTATTCTGGTGGCTAACAGACACATGAAGAAATGCTGACGATCATTAGCCATTAAAGAAATGCAGATCAAAACTACAAAGAGATATCATCTCACCCCAACAAGGCTAGCATTAATAAAAAAAAAACACAAAATAATAAATGCTGGAGAGCTTGTGGAGAGACTGGAACACTTATACACTGTGTGGGAATGTAAAATGGTACAGCCACTTTGGAAATCGCTTTGGTGCTTCCTTAAAAAGCTAGAAATAGAAGTACCATATGATCCAGCAATCCTGCTCATTGGAATATATCCTAGAGAAATAAGAGCCTCACATAAATAGATATATGCACACCCATGTTCATTGCAACACTGTTCACAATAGCAAAAAGATGTAAACAACCCAGGTGCCCATCATCTGATGAATGGATAAACAAATTATGGTATCTCCACATGCTGGAATACTACACAACGATAAAGAACAAAGATGAAGCCGTGAAACATC